GGCTCATCATGCCGATTGCACGATGAGCCTCAAGGCATCCTGCAGCAAGTGGTGGCACTGGAGGTGCCTCCACCCATGCCACAGCCCTGTGGCAGCCTGAATCTGGGACCTATGGAAACCCAGGAGGAACCTGGTAGCCACTTGCCTGCACATTTCTTGAACCAGAGGGTTTGGAGCCTGGGCACCTGAGGGCCTCTGCCAGTCAGCAAGACGCCAAGCTGTGGGGCTTCCAGTTTTGTGCAGTAGCACAGCAGCTGAGGGATCATGGTGCTCTGCACCCTAAGGCCGATTTCTGACTTTTTGGGGACCCTAAATGGGCCTGAAGTTGCCCTGAGAGGTGACAAAGAAGGAGGAAAATCCCGCCGATCATGGAGATACAGCAGTTGATCCAATCGGTCCAGGAAAAGCCCTCCAGCAGGAGAAAGGCTAGCTTAACTCCAAAGTGTAGCCCAAGCTACAAGCAGCCGAAGCCCAAAAGCACTATTTTAAGCTGACTGTAAACAACATGCTTGGAACTGAGTAAGAACAGTGATTTTCTCTCTTCTACTTGATAATTGACTTCCTTGAAAAAAAAACCCAAGAAGCAAAAAGCCTCCAAAAGTGAAAAGGAGGGGGATCTTTGCCCCACCCTCCTACAGATGGAAGCAGTGAATTAAACTTTTTAGGGGGACAGAAATATATTGAAATGAAATGAATATAAGACCTAAATATGGATAAGTTTGAAATTGGTGGAATTTAAGATTTCCCATTTAAATCATGAAAATAGAAGAAAACAATTGTTTATTTTGAAAACTGAAAAATGAATTGGTGCTGACATCTAGTGGTGGATGAAGATATACAACAATAGTTGTTCCAAAACAGGAACTGGTAAAGCCCAGGAAAAGATAATTTGTTTTTGGTGACTTTCAATGTCTTAATAACAGAGAACAGCTGTGACAAAAAAAGAAAACATTTTGGGCTACCTACAAAGCAAGAATTATAAACTTTAGAGAAAAAAAATTGACCTTTCTGGATTACAAATACCTATTCAACTGTGACTTTAAAACTGTCTGCAGAGAAAGGAAAACTCTGATTTTTGGCTATCATGGCAAACCAGAGATCTGCAGAAAGAATATACCAGGAAAAACAAACACTTTCCAGGAGGAGATGTATGCTATGATGCAACTAATTGAAACAACAATAATCTCAAACCATGAGGAAATTAAAAATAAGTTTGAAAATGACTTCCGGTTTGTCGCTGTGGCTGCTGCGGCCACTTGGAAGGCAACTCCATCTTCCACATCTGATTTTCCTTCACTGGGGGACTCAGGAAAGGGTCGAAAGTCACCTTGTAGGGCCGACGTGTTCAATCTGGGGCAGCCCTCCAAACTGGTGGAGAAAAGACCGGCCATAGCAATATGACTCATCATTAGGCTGCAGACAGCAGAAGTCAAATCTACTATCAAGCACTTTGAAAGCAACACAGATGAAACTGGGTGAGATCTGATCTTCTCTTTACCCTAAGTACCTTCTTTTCCCATAAAGGCTGTTTGAAGTATCTTCCCCCTGTGAGGAGAGAGGGAAGGGAATTTCTATCCCACCCTCTAAGAATAGAGGCATCTGACTACCCAGGGGAATGAAAGCATTAAAAAGAACAACTTTAATCTAATTGGATTTATATGTTCCTGAAACTTGGGGACCAAAAACCTTCCTATTCCTATTGGAGACTTTTGTTTTTATCTACAAAAAAGAAATAAAATTGGAAAAAGAATTAGAAAAATTCAGGACTTAGAAAACCCTAAGTGGTATCAGTGACATCTTGTGGTGAAGCTTGGTATTGCAATTTGTTATTTCCTAAAAATAACAAATTGAAGCTCGAAGCTCAGACCTTAGCTAAGACCTTCCTGACCTTGGTACCATCTGTGAGAGACTTAGTTGTAAGAGAGCAGCTGAGCAGCAAAATTGGCCTACTTGAACTGTGCTCTTTTCATTAACCACATGGAGTCAAGAGTTGTGCTTTCCTGAAAGGATCAGCTGGAGCAGGTCCTTATACTTCTTGGATGAGAATCATAATATTTTCAAGAGAAATATTTTTAAGGAAAAACCAAGGAATTCCAGTTGCCTTTTGAAAAGCAGTATTGGGACAGACATGACCTGGATGATTGAGAATCTCCACAGTCAACCAAGCTCAGAGAGCACCAAGGACACCTCATTTCAACCCTGAGCTACATATATTCTACAACAACAACAACAACAACAACAACAACAACAATAAAGTTGGAAGGGACCTTGGAGGTCATCTAGACCAACCCTCTGCTCAGGCAGGAAATCCTATACCATTCCGGACACGTGTCTGTCTAGTCTCTCCTTAAAAACTTCCAGTGTTGGATCATTCACAGCTTCTGGAGGCAGGTTGTTCCACTGATTAATTGTTCTAACTGTCACAAAATTTCTCCTTAGTTCTAGGTTGCTTCTCTTTTTGATTAGTTTGTCAGGAATCTGTTTGATCTTCCACTTGGTGCAGAGTTTGTCCTCCAATTGATGTCAGGGTAATTAAAGTCCCCCATTACTATTGTGATGTGCTTCCTACATACTTTAGTTAACTGACTAGCAAAAAGCTCATCTATTACCTCTGTTTGGTTGGGTGGTCTCTAGTATACACCTATGGCAATGTTATTTCCCCCCTTTTACTGTATATTGACCCAAATGCTTTCAAGACAGTTTTCATCATTGTTGTGCTCTATTTCTATAGAGATGTAGTTATTTCTTATATAGAGAGCAACTCCACCTCCTCTTTTATTTGGGCTGTTTCTTTTAAATAATTTGAATCCCTTTAACCAAGTTTCTGTAATGGCAACAATATCATATCTGCCCTCATTTATCTGAATTTCTAATTCACCCTTTGTTGCTCATGTTCTGTGCATTGGTCTATAGACATTTGAGTCCTTTATGATTAACCCTGTGTTTACTTTCTACATAACCTGTGTGGTGCCTGAATTCCCCTATTTTCTTACCACCTGCTTGATTAGTGCACTTTGTGTGGCACTCGCTCAATGTGCAAGTTAATATGAATATTGCTCATATTAAAATTTTTAATAATTATAAAAGACTGTAATAGTAAAATTATGAAAATTACCAAGGAGTAATCTCAATGTTTATTGTTGAGATGTTGCCTTCGTCTCATTCTCAGGCCACACTATTCCCAGCATCATCACATTCATATTTCTCAATCTCAATCTCAGTTTCCTCCCAAATCTTACTGGAATAAGCTATAAATGGGTGGTCTCATATCCTTCCATTCTGCTTGCAAAATAACCTAAGCTAAAATAGCTGTTCCACAGAAAGGGGCAAGTACTGGTGCTCCATTACATGTTTTATCCTCATTATTTTCTTCTGTGGAGGTAAGCAAATTTTACAAATCAAAAACTGAGCTGCAGTTAGCACATTGATACACAAAATAGATTCTCAGAATCTTAGCTTATATAGAATAATGTCAGCAAGTTTCAGATAAAATTGGGCTTTGGCTATGCTTTGGCTATAGTATATGCCAAATCTGCTGCACTACTGATGGGGTTGTAAATTAAAGCTGGTTTATTTATTTGTTTATTTTTTATTTATTTCCTATACTGTCCATCTCACCAAATTATTCTGGGCAGTTTACAACAATATAACAAAACAATTTAAAGATATGAACAAAACCACAGATTAAAACAGTTAAGAACAAAGATTTTTTTTAAAAAAATAAATGTTCATCTCCACCCCTGACTGGACCTATCTGGTCTCTAACAACTTCTCCTTCCCCTGTACTTGATTACCTTGAACTAGACATCACATCTTAAACTATTTTCAGGGTTGCTATGAGGATGAAAAACAGTTATTTACTTCATGCTAGAATGGCCAAGGGTAAAAAATTCTACCAGTTCATAAGCAAAATAAACTAAATGAGGAGTCCACCTTCTGCATTCTTGTGTGGGGACCCTGAAGAAATATGCAATCATGGGGTTGTTGGTGGCACCAGATCCCTACTTTACCTTTATTTTAACTGAGTATAATTACTTTTGCCATGCTAATTTTTAAATAACCTTTTAAAAATTTAATTCCAAAATTTCAACTCTAACATTTTAATTTTTATGTGCTGTTTTTTATGTTGATATTCTACTTAACACCACGCAGAGTCCCTCTTGAGGGAAATGGACAGTTAGGAAATGTGGAATATGAATAAATATAATGTGGAAAAGTGGGACCCTGAATTTGTTAGGCCTTTGGTGTGATTCTATAGAGGATGTGACAATTTATAATCAATGTTTATATGACATTAAATTAGGTTAAACATTATTCCATACCTGGCTATCTAGAAAAGGGATTTTTTTCCACACAGAATCCCATTTTGGAATAAAATTGATTTAGTGATGGATAGGAGTAATGTAACAAGTTCATTCTGGTTTACTAGTGAGACTGGCATTTTGCATTTTATTCATGACTTGGATGTTCTCTTATCAGATTTCAGATGACACAAAAGTGGCTAATATAGTGGGGGACAAAAACAAATTCAAAATGATCTAAATCTAATAGAGAAAATTTAGACTGCACCAATAAATATAGTTTCCAAATCATAAGAAAAAATAGTTCCAGTTTATTCTATGTTAATCAGAGCTTGCCTTGAATATTATCTCTACTTCTGAATCTCACAAGTTAAAAAGAATTCAGAGAAACTGAAACAGGTTAAATGAAGAAGCAAGGATAATCAGAGAAAGAGGACACTGTACTGGAAGTTTAGCTTCAGGTTAATAGTGTGTGTTGCGTGTGTGTTTGTATGTATGAATTGTGAACTGTTATACCTAATATTCAAGGAAGTGCATTGGGACAGAATTCACAATACCCTGAATACCACTGACAGATGTTTTTATGATAGCCAGGTTGCCATAGCATGCCAGGCCATCATGCAGTTGATGTGATTTAGGACTAACATTTTATGTGAATTTAGACCTTTCAATCTATAAATCAACTCTCCATCCTATTATCTATCTGTGTAAAACATCATGTTCTCTTTTAGAATTCATTATTAGGTACTCCTTGGTGTTCATGTGAGGTCTTAGGATAATGATGTAGCATTTAGGGATAAAGATGCAACCCATTAAGCCCAGGCTGGAGGCCAGGATGGAGAAGATCTGCACAGCCACCGTGTATTTTCCTTTGGTGCTCAGGTACGTGGGGACAAAGGAAACCCAAACACTGCAGAAAACCAACATGCTGAAGGTGATCAACTTGGCTTCGTTAAAGGTCCCTGGCAGCTTGCGTGCTAGGAAAGCCACCAAGAAGCAGATGGCAGCCAAAAGGCCCATGTAACCTAGTGCAGTGTAGAACATGATGATTGACCCTTCATTACATTGCAGTAGGATGTATCCTGGTTGAGAATGCATGTCAGAATCTGGGAACGGAGGAGAGATTCCCAGCCATATCATGCAGATACCCATCTGAATCCCAGAACAGGATACAACAATAGAGTTGGCCAGAGTCTTTCCCAACCATTTCCTCATCCTGCTGCCTGGCATTGTGGCCAGAAATGCCACCACCACCATGATAGTCTTTGCCAGCAATGAAGACACAGCAACTGAGAAAACAACACTGAAGATGCTTTGTCGAAGAAGGCAGGTGATTTCTTTGGGACGACCAATGAATAGAAGGGAGATCATGAAGGAGAGGAGGAGGGAGATCAGAAGAATGTAGGTGAGGTCCCGGTTGTTGGCTTTAACTATTGGAGTTTCTCTGTGTTTAATGAAGATTCCAAGAACAAAGGCAGTGACTGGAGACAAAGCAAGGGCAATGGAAGCTAGGATGAGTCCCAATGTTTCTTCATAGGACAAGAAACTGATACTTTTGGGGACACACTGATCTCGCTTCTCATTGGAATACTGGTCATCTGGACATTTGCTGCAATGGGATGCATCTGAAAAACATTTGCTATATATAAGTATTTCTGCAATTGTAATCATAAAATAATGAGATTGGAACCAATACTTTCTACAATGCATAAAACATGTTTTTGAAAGTGATGGGGTAGGAATGGATATTGGAAGAGCTGGAAAACTTAGAAAATACTTTCCAACTATACTTCGTGAAAATCTAAGTTGGATCGTGAGAAAAAAAATTCATGGGTGGATGAATGAATAATATGTAACAGGGAAGATGTTCTATGGAACAGGGAGCTGAATATGACCTGAAAGATGAAAATATAATGCACCATTATCTTTTGAATCCTATTAAAGGTTCTTGATTTCCTTTTTTTCTCCAGAGCCACCTACCTTCTTCCACTGAGAATGTTCCTTCCATACATAGAGAACAGTCATGGCAGCAAATAGGTGCTCCTTCTCTGACGAGCTTGGCATATCCTGGGTAACAATTTTCTGAACATCTAGAAGAAGGTACTGTCTAAACATAAAATAAAAATAGAAATAAAGGCACGACATGAGTTACAATAGAGAGATTTATTTCAAAAAACCTGACATGGCAGTGACTGATTGGTTCCCCCATCTCCTTCCTTTCTAACTGTATGTGGAACCATATAACATTGATCTTCAGGGAAAAGGACCCTGGAATCAATTGGAAAAGAATTTATGGCATGTGTGGGAATGCTATGTATTGTATTTTTCTCTCTAATTTTGCTTTGGCAGGAAACTTTCAAAATCTGGCTTTCTTTGTCACTGCAACTGTCCCTGAATTTCTCTCCTCTAGCTGAACATTGTAAGAAGATTGTTTGATATGATATAATTATAATTTGTGATTTAGCAGGTTCCAGTTTGTGATAAACTACGGAAAAACATCTTAAACATTAATGATATTTAACGAATTAAGTTTTTTTTTAAAAAAAGTTTCCCTTATTTGAAGGTTATCTCAATTGTCCTGAATGGGAATTATTACTGAGCAGAACAGTTTGCATATATGGAGGTAAATGGAAGTGTTCAAACAAGTAGATCAATTACCTTGTTAAATGATATTGGCCATTGGATGGCACTGTGATTGATGGAGACCTTGACTTCAGAAGAAGCTTCCCTTTCTACACTCCCAACTTTTTCCATAGGATAAGACTCTTGGGGCAACATTCTCCAGTGCATGATATCAAAGTCAGCAGCAGGAAATCCATTTTCATCTAAATAAATGCCATCATTAGAAATGTTGTGAAGCTGGAAGTGTTTCATGAAGTGATGAAGCTGCAAAAGAGACAGAAAATGCAGCATACACATGCCGCATACACATTCTCATTTGAACCTTTATTCAATATTTGTCTGCCTATTATTCTGGGTTGGAAATGCATTGCCCCTCCTGAAGAAGCCTTCCCTGGATCCAGATGTATTGGCTAACTATCGCCCGGTCTCCAACCTTCGCTTCGTGGCGAAGGTTGTTGAGAGTGTGGTTGCACGGCAATTCCCTCGGCACCTGGAGGAAACAGATTATCTGGACCCCCTCCAGTCGGGCTTCAGGCCGGGGTACAGCACGGAAACGGCATTGGTCACGTTGGTTAATGATCTCTGGAGGGCCCGGGACAGAGGTTATTCCTCTGTCCTAGTTCTTTTGGACCTCTCAGCGG